TGTTCTCAACACAAGTCGTCAACATTAGTTCCACTTCTCCAAACTAATAGTCACATTAGCAGATTTAAGCACGATCCATGGCTCAATGTGATGTCAGCAATAATACTCCCTCCAGTTAGGATGTTTTGTGAGTCAACATGAGTAATTTCCCTGTATCTGCAACACGCAGCGTCCATTTTCAGTCGTCCTCCATGTTAAACCCAGCAGAGCGGAACAGTCACCGGGCCAAAAGCAGATGATAAAATCCCTTTTTTGCAGTGGTGATTTTTGGCAGCTCCTTTTTTATGACAATTTACAGAACAAATTTCCCCTCTTTCAAGGCTTCTTGGTTTCCTTCCCATGCTGTTCCTGAATGTCAAATCTCCGCACACAGCTCCTATTAATGTGCGATTAGCCGGTGGTGCGGCTACGCGCCCCGCTGAAAACGGCTCCGCTTAAGGAACAGAAAAGCCATCAGTCCGGCCCTCTCCCGCATTATCCCCACAGTCCCCACTCCCCGATGCCGAAATTCCTGCTGACCTGACTGTCATTCATCAGAAGAGTTGAATTTACTCCCCCCCTTTTGAAAAGATCCCTGAAGAGCATTAAAACACGACTCACTGACTCGCATCTAATTAGGCGACAATTAGCGATATTAACATATCAGCCACAGCCCTGCACCGGCAGAAAATGTTCACCGCCCATGAGAGTCACACTCTGTGCTTTATGTACACTTCCCACCATGCACTTCATTTCTTTGTCAGTTTTGTATAATGCTCCTGCATCAATGGACGCAGAGACACAGTGGCCCTGCTGAGGGCTAATGACCGGAACAATGTACAGGAATGTGGAACCAAAAGACTCGGAATGGGATTTATTATTTCCCTCTGATCTAAAACAGTCTCAAAACAGCATCTTTCAGAGACTGTAACTGGAAAAGACCAGATGGAATCAGCAGTTCTGGACATAGATAACTTATTTTCCGTTCGGGGAGTTCATCGGTGAAGCGAAGAAAAGATTAGAGTCCTCAAAAATTGCCAAAGTCATAGCTAGAATGAGGTCAAGGTAGCCGCGTTCACAAAGCTTCCACTGTCTAAGCGTGTTTAATTAATGTGGCCGCGGGCATCTCGAGCTTAAGACACGCATACCTAAGGTCAGAAACAGCCGAACAGCCTCAGACGGCCTGAAGTTTCTCTGATGGCCTTAGAATTACTCACTATATCAGCTATATAACGTACGGGGACCTTTACTTAGAGACACTCGGGCCTCGCCCCTATGTTTTAATTTCTGACAGCTTAAAGAAGCCCTACTAACTGCTCAGTTTGGCTCGAGGACAAACAGTACTCCTCCCAACCCATTTAAGGTCTTAATCAGCTCATTAGCCATCCGATTCAATCGATGGGCAAACAACTTTGAGACTGGGATCTGCAGTCTAAAACAAACTCAACTAAAGGTACTATTCTGTGTGGAGTTTTGTTGTAAAACCTAAAGCGGAGTACGTGTGTCGAAACAGGTTTAGGATTCAAGCCTAGTCATGATTTCTTATGGAAAGTGACATGTGAAAGCCTACTTCATGCATATATCAGAGATAAATACGAATCTCATTATTCTAAACTACTTTAAAAAAATACAACAAATGTACAGTACAGCAAATGAGCAACTACTCCCTTAGGGGGGGAAAAGGTCATCTCCAAAGATCAAAAGTGGAGCTCTACGTCATGCAGACCCAAACTTAATCAACAGTTAAAAGTTATTTTACAGTTTTACATGTCTCCCTCTATTTCTGCTTCGTATCTGAAAAGATACAGTGACTCACATCTTTAATGCCTCAGATTTTATGCAGTGGTATCACCCCTTGCTAAAGGGAATCTGTTTCATAACGAAGGATCTTGGCAAACTATAACACTCTGTTTTACCTTTAGAAGCAAAATTCAAGGATCCTTTTTATAAATATCTACAGTAAGCATTTGTCTGTGGATAAAATGCAGAAAAATCAAACAAAAAACACTGAAAAGAAAAACAGAGAATTAACAGAAATCCTAGAAAAAGCATATTTTCAACTCAATCTTTGCCACTTTTTTCAGTGTCTCCTCCATAGAATCATTCAATGTAATAAAGTCACAAAATGGAGAAACTTTCCAACACCATTGGGTTAATCATGAAATCTAAAAAGTTGAGACACATTTAGCCATTGTTGCTGTCTTTTTATTCTCAGACGATTAGCTAATCAATGAGTCTACTAATTGCTTTAGCACTAAAAGCAATAACAAATTACAGCCTTAAAGAGATGCTCCACACATGTCCTGCAGCCTCTGTGTGAGCAAAAGCAACGCAATAAGTGCAAAAAAGTAATGGCAACATGGCAGTTTTTTATTTGCACAGCCATGAATATGAAAATAAGAAAAAAATCACACAATGGAAACTTTGACCCTAATCACAGCGGTCCCGTTTGTGCATGCAGGAGAAGCTTATTAGTCATTATCATAAAAATAAACATGTGGAAACTTGCAGATAAAAATGTCTTTATTTGAGGGAGTAAAAAGAGGGAAAATTAAATAAGGCAAATAGTGATTAGAATTTAGAGTGAAGATGAAATCAAGAGGAAGGAAAATCAAACAAAAAGAGTCAACATCTTTCGTCCAAACAGTCCTAATTTCTAATTTTCCAGCTCTGCCTTCCCCTCCATACCAAACAAATGTTTCTGATTTTACCACCAGCTGATAACAACTGGAATGAGATGCATGCATAATGTTAAAAATGTTCACTTTTCAAACACATAATGAGATAAAGAAAAAATATCTATGGCCACAAGCTGCCAAAGAGTCACTCCACAATGAAAGAATTCTGTCTATCAGGGACTACAGACTGTCTTCAGGTAGGATTAACTCAGTCAAGATACGAGATCCTTTAATGGATGCTAATTGTAATTCACATCTATGTGTTCTACGATGGCAAATAACGCAAAAAAAAAAAAACAGTGTTAACAAATTGACTTGGACAGTTGCGTGATATCATTAGAGCAGGGGAGTGTGAAAGGTTGGCAGTTTGTCATTGGCAGATCAGTAAAAATGTTCTGTAATTTGCTCCCGGCATCAATTTCGTGATCCAGAGTAGGCGAAAACGGGACGCCGTCCAATAGGATATGACATGCCTTTGTCATATTTTCAGCTGTTGACTGAATCACGGACATCTCTAAACGCTTTGATCCCTCCTGTTCCTTAACTGGAGACCTACTGTGTGGGATTGTTGCAAAATTAAATGGACAGCTCCTGTTTTCTGCTGAGTTTCACAGAGTGCAGCTGTTTTTTTTGTGCTATTTTTTTGTAATCTCGGAGTATTGTGCGCCATCCACAACTGACCTGCTTGGACAAAGTCAATGACACACAACCGTGTGATTTATGCGCGACTGTCAGCATGAAGAACACACTCACACCTCTAAAATTACACAAGATTTACCCTTCAATCTGTTTCCCCACCAGCATAAATTTGACGATGAGATTACCCATGTTTATTACCAGTTTGCAGATATGAAAACTTTCCTTTTTTAGGTTTTTAACTGCCACCGGAGTCGTCTGAAGGCAAAAATATGATTTAATCCTGCAGAACACGGGAACAACTTCAGTTTTCCAAATATAGAGTTTTGCCCACTGTCTCACGGCATCGATTAATCTAAAAACCTACATGAGAGATGCTGACACCCTTCAGATCTTGTCAGTGTTGATCTCACATATGTGTTACCAGGTTTGGATGTCGCCATGGTTACTGAGCTGAGCCACAGTTCAAAGAAAAAATAAATAAATAATTAAATAAAAGAAATCAGTAAGTGTGGATGAAAAAAATAGGTTCAATTATATTGTAAAATCAAATGCAACCTAATAATAAGGGCCCATGAAAAATATTCAATCGTTTTTATTTGGCCTTTAAATGACAAATTTCCTTTTCAGGAGGCCAAATCAATTCTTGGAATATTTCCTTTTAGTTCGCCACATTTAGTGTTCAGTCTTAATTTCCTGGGTTCATTGTCTGATGCAGAATATGAGGCTATTTCTGCCGAGCAAAAATGTTAAATGAACCTTAAGGTTAGTCCAAATATACTGTTGTTTTATTTTTTGGGAGTAACTGGTCGTGTTTGAGCTGCAAATGATTAAACAAGCCCCCCTGTGAACTCCATCCTGCCTCTTGCTTTGGACCGAATTTTAAATGTCAAAGGGAATTTCAGAAATTCAGCAGTTTGGAGGCTGGATTAAGCATCACTGTGAAAAGGTGACTACAAATGTGAGATTTCAGCAATTCCAAGTAAGATAAACTTATCTGCTAGTCTTTGCAGGAAACCCGAAGATTTAGTTTTGCACAACCGTCCCTTTTTCAACAGTGAGAATTTAGCCATGGATGGTTAAAATGTCTATTTTTAATCCACAGTCTAACACATAAGTGCATTTTCCTCCCAAAACGAAAGCATCATTATGAGATTTTCCAAACCAAAAGCTTTAAATATGAATCAATTCAATAAATATCCAGTTTTAAAATAAAGAAATGGTTGAAGAACATTGACTGAAATGTCTACATATTCATTAGCTGTTCGGTAAAGTGAAAGCATACAGAAAAGCCCTGGGGGGTCAAACCAGGTGCCCTTCTGCAA